TTCGATATCTGCGAAAGAAGTGAACCGGTGACCTGCCAAATCGTGCTGCGACATGAAACCGAGCATTGTCATGAAGAACGCCTTTCAACGTCTCTCGGTTTCAGTTCATAAGGTACCCAATTTTCTTGTTTTTGAATAATTCCAATGTCTCTCAATCGTACGGAAACGGCTTGTTGAGTCACTCCCAATGATTCTGCAAGCTCATCTTGCGTTTGACTCTGATCTTCTTTGAGTAATGCCTCTAATTCTTTGTCCTCGAATTTTTTGGCTGTCCAGAGCGAGGCTTGTCTTCGACGCTGAAATCTCCATCCTTGAAACGTCGAAACCATTCCCTACATAATTTATCAGTTGGAGCAGCGTCACCATAAACTTCAACAAGCATTCGATGGATTTCAGCTGCACTTTTCTTCCAATTAAAGCAGAAAATTAAAACCTCCCACAAATGCTGCTTGGTTAACACAAAATTCGACATTTTCAACACTGTAAAAAGCAAGGTTTTTGTATGAAACTCAAAGCGATATAAACTGAATATTATTGGCAGATGTCTAACCTCTCTGAAACCGCCAAAATCGGCAGTCACTATGAACCATTCATAACAGCCGGAGCCATTTTTTGAAAACGGACCGAACTAATTTGTACACCCAATATTTTTATCCGAAGATTAGGGTAATTTTCACTGAAGACCAAATGCATGGTCAAAACGTATGTGATACTATTTTAGTGTAACATGACTTTCATTATATTTGTGTGAATTTTAGCATCAATACACATTTATATCTAGTGCGGGCTCGATTGACAATTATGTAATATATATTTCTATTATTTTCTATTATATTCCATTCCATATTATATATACAGGGTATTTCAGATCACTCGGGTCATCCGATTTTTTCGTGAATGCGACATTTTAGAGAAAAATGTTTCAAACAAAAGTTGTACGGCTTCAAAGAATCTATTTACTGACTACTATAAATTTGACCTTGGAATGACCTTGAAAAGCCCAGTCAGAATCAACATAAAAATCTTAAATGGAAACGCCAATATTTTATTACATCGTCTTTTTCCACTAATTAATTTGAACAACTTTCATCTGAAATATTTTTATACTTGCCTAATATTTCTTGAGATATTTAAGGATAATTTGATAACTTTTTCAATATTTAACTTACGATATCTCGCTAACTGTTTGTCGGGATAAAAAAATGGTACTAACTTTTCTATTCTACTTGGTCTCAAGAATATATTGTTACAATAACGCCCTGACTTTTGTTAATTTGATGATTTTGAGATTTCAAAAGATCGATAAACTAACAAAAAATATATTATTGTACCAATATATTCTTGAGACCAAGTAGAATAGAAAAGTCTAATACCATTTTTTATCCCGACAAACAGTTAGCGAGATATCGTAAGTTAAATATTGAAAAAATTACCAAGTTATCCTTAAATACCTCAAAAATATTAGGCAAATAAAGAAATATTTGAGACAAAAGTTGTTCAAATTAATTAGTGGAAAAAGACGGTGTAATAAAAAATTGAGTTTCCATTTAAAATGTTTAAGATGTTGATCTTGACTGGGCTTTTCAAGGTCATCCCAAGGTCAAATTTGTAGCATCAGTAAATAGATCCTTGGAAGCCCTACAATTTTTGTCTGAAACATTTTTCTTTAAAATGTTGCGTTTACGAAAAAATCGGGTAACCCAGGTGGTCTGAAACACCCTGTATATTAGGTCATTAAGTATAAAATGTCCCATTTCGAATGAAAAATTTGGTTTATTATATCTCAAACCAGAAATAGTAAAATTAATCAAAGTATGTGCCTAAAGTATCGACACAGTTCTGCCATCTTAATGGTAGCTTATTCATGCCAGCAACGAAGAAGCCTGAAGAGCGAGTGACGATGAAATCGTGGAAGGCGTTTTCCACAGCTTGTTGAGAATTGAATATTTTTCCTTGCAAGAAATGGTCCAGTGCCTAAAAGAAGTGGTAATCAGTTAGTGCAAGGTCTGGTGAATATGACAGAGAGTTTCCAAGTCCAGCTGTTGTAATTTGGGCAACATTGTTTGTGCTACATGTGATCGAGCGTTGTCTTGCAAGAGGATTGACCTGTCTCTATTAACCAATCTCGGCTGCTTAATCGCAAGCATCCTCATCACTTCGTTCAGTTGTTTACAATAGACATCCGCTGTAATCGATTGACCAGGTTTCATGAAGCTGTAGTGGACAATACCAGCGCTGGGCCACCAAACAGACACCATTAGTTTTCTTTCGTGAATATTCGGTTTTGGACTGTGTTTCGGCACTTCATCTATATTCAACCATTGTGCCGAACGCTTACGATTGTCGAAAAGAATCCATTCTTTGTCACACGTAATAATACGATGTAAAAATGGTTCGCCTTTATGTCGTGATAGTAAAGAAAGGCAAGCTTCGAGACGATTTCTCCTTTGACGCTCATTTAATTCATGCGGAACCCATCTATCCAGCTTCTTTACCTTGCCGATTTATTTCAAGTGATCCAATATCGTTGAAATAGTAACGTTAAACTTTTCTGCTAATTCACGCGTAGTTTGAGATGTATCCGCTTCCACTACAGCTTCCACTTTTCAGCTCATCATTATCCACCTTGGTTTCGGGTCGCCCACGTGGCTCATTTTCAAGATTAAAATCGCCAGAACGAAACTTCTCAAACCATCAACGTACTGGGCGTTTATTAGCCATATCTTCACCAAACACTTCGTTGATATTTCGAATTGTCTGTGTTGCATTGGTTCCACGACGGAACTTATATTCGAAAATAACATGAATTTTTACTTATCCATGGTTACACAAAAATTGCTGCAACAAAGACATTTCGAAAAATAATCACAAACCAAAACATGCGTTTGAAAGAGTGATGATATACCTTCATAAAAAATAAACCAAGAACTGTAAAGGTGAAATGTCACGGAGCTCCACGCCCATGTACCGCGCCCCTCCCATTGGGAATAATGAGCGCGGTGCCCCGGTTACCCAACCGGGTTGGCCTTCCGGTTTAGTTTAGGAGAGAGAGGACACCCGCCCTCCCTCCTCGCCCCCTTTCCTCCCGCTTCCCTACTGGTATGTAGGGGGAGTTGACTGTTGAACTTAGTACTTAAGGAAATCAGACATTTCATATTTAACGACCTAATATATACAGGGTGTCCGGAATGTGATCACTAATATTTTGTGTACTGATAGAACTCGTTAAAACAATTAAAAAAGTCCTGTGCTATTTTACAATTTTTTCAATATTTATTCGGTAATTAATTAAAATGTGTAAACGAATGAGCGCACGAGAAAGCGACAGGATGAGTTCTGTGTATAAGAAGATGGCTTACCTCGCGCGGCGAGAGGCAACCGTAAGCGACAAGAGGCGTGCGTGTGCGACGAGGAGCGAGTGAGCGCGAACGACGAGCGAGCGAGCGCAAGCGACAAGAGGCAGCCGCCCAGCGCTCTCTACGCGCTCATTGGCTCACATGTTTCAATTAATAACTCGATAACTATTGCCAATTTGACATTATGGTACATGACTTTTCTCCTCGGCTACACCCAATCTACCAGTACACAAAATATTAATGATCACATTCCGAACACCCTGTATAATATATCTATTATATTCTATTATATACTCACAAAGTGCTTCGCTGACGCGAATAGTAAAAGCAGGAAGAAAATTCGTATGAAATGCTCATGTATAAGCTCGGGGTACTCGAGTATCTCGGGTATTGAACAAGCGTGTTCAACTTTGACTCTCGATAATAATTAAAAAAAAAAAATTATGGTTCAGTGCGTAAATCGATGCAAAATAATCTAAATAATGAGGATTTAGTCGGGCTAAAAGGCATATTTTGCCGGGAAATTGAAAATTTTTTAATGAGAGCACGCAAATAGTATTCGGGTATCCAGGTATTGAGGATTAATGAATTAATGTTATAGTACTTGGAAGTAGATAGATTGAGTCAAACTGAATAAGGTCTCCTAATATTTTGAAATGACTATGTAAATAGTAACTTTGAAAGTTATTAATTATATAAGATTAATGAATATGCGCAATACAATGGATCGAGCTCTGCAAAGTTGGTACTGATGCAATGTCATTCACCACTTGCGACGTTACCCTATTTCTTGCTAACTGTTAATTGGCAAATAGTGAGTAAGAGATGTACAAGCCTTTTCTGCAGTGTTCATACACTGTATTACGTGTGATTATTTCCCAATTTTAATTAATAATTAAAAAATTTATGAGTGCAAAATAGAATTTTTTAATCAGGTTTAATTTGATTTAATTTACTTGTTTCCGAGTTCTGGTAGCATCAGTTTATTGATACCTTATATTTATGAATTACAATTACTATCTTATGCAACTAATTGTATAATTATCAATATAAAATTAAATATATAATCTGTTATAAATGGTCCCTTTAAATTTGAATTAGAACAAATTTATTATAATATATGAAATTGCACTATCCTCACAAGCATTACATATAAACAATTGGTTATACTTCGATGAAATTGCAAAATATTCCCGATTTTCAATTTCTGCAAGATTGTTTTGAAGAAAATAAGTTTACATTATATTCATATATTTCTAGATATTGTCAAAATTTCCGAATTCTTCGGTTTTACTAATTAATTATTTACAATGTGGAATAAATAGGACATGTGTAATATACACGCACGCATTTATATATGTAAATGAACGAATGAGTCAAGTAAATAAATGAAAGATCACAGATATATTCTTTGATCTAAACAGCATTGTTTGTTGGTTCAAACTCACATTTAGATAAAATAATGCCCATTCATAGCTCAATTTATTTACAGAATAAGGAAATTTTGAGAACTTAATGATTAATAATCCAATAAAGCAGATAATTAGATACAAGATCGAGTATTATTCTCGAATTAAAATTTCTTGCCTATTTAAAATGTTTAAATACGATCTAAAAATTAAAAAATCAAAAAGATATTTAGGAAAAACTATGTAATAAATATTGTCGTACTTAAAGAATCGAAAACGATTCCTTATGTTATTGGATATCTTATTAAAATTAAATGGAGATTTAATCATAAACTCAGATTTTGTTTCAGTCTAGATGTACGCGCGTGCGTTAATATACTGTTCTTCTCTCATCTCATTTTGATTTTATCTCTGTTGAAATTATTTTATACAAAATAATTTAATTAGCTAACGACTTTAAGCAAATTGTCGATTCTTCTTGTTTTTTTCTTTCCTGTTTTTTCCTTTGACCGCGATATCTCGTTGGATTGGTGCTCGGATTAATTCTCTTGGTTGATGTCGATAGTACGTTTTTCATTCGAGTTATTCGTATGGTCTCTTGTTGTTCTTCACAACCGCACAAGAAAGTATATTGTGAATGATAATAACGTTTAAGGTTTGATTCATTTCGGAAAGTGTACATTGCACACCACACATGACATAACAAATATGGAAATCGAGATAGCCAGTATTCTGTGAACTGACCTGGAATCTCGCCAAGACTTTCTTGTGCTTTCGGGCTTAATTCTCGATAATGATGTTTCTAAAAACATACCAAACATAGCAACGCTAAGTTAATATAGAAAATATCTTAAAACCAAAGAAATAAGAAAATGTCTATAATTTGTTGCATTTGGTTCTTAATATCAGCAAAAGTCGAATATTTTATAGTATAATATTTGTATTTTGCTGTTTGATTTTATCATTATTTATTTTCACTGACCTTGTTTCGCAAAGCTCTGAGCAGGTCCCTCATACTATCGCCACTATAACTTCTGTATTTTCGTAGATCCGATGCAACTTCTACATCTATGTACGATACCCAATCATTTTCTATTACACGCTTGCCGCAAGTTTCTAAAGCTATTAAAGCTGGACTGTCCAATTGATCCTTTTCCACTCGGTCGCTAACATCCTGTCACATAAATTACAATAATAATGAAACTTAGAAATTATATTAATGGCTTTAGTAGGAAGTAGGGTTTCCAGAAAAATAATAAAGAGACAGTGATATTCAATTTTCTTAATAATATTATGGTAAATTTTTCGTTATTGTCACACATTAACATTGAAGTTTTATGAAAAATATAAATACATTTTAAATTGTACATCCTTTTTATTTCGAATGCGGATAAAAAATGGATCTCAAAAATATTAAAATATTTTATATACCTGAAAGAAACTCAGAATCTCTAACGAATTCCAAAAAATAGGATAATTATAAATCGCCAAAGCTGGTGGCCTATCAGAAGGATTGTTGCAAATCATCATCTTGATGAGTAGTACTGCTAATTCTCTATCACTTGCAGATATATTTTGTAGTGCTACCAGATTACTTTCACCACCTATAAAGATAGAATAAACTATACGATTAGATGATCATTTTTTTAAATGTATTTTATTCTATATATTTGAATATCGGACAAAATAAAATATACATCTCAAACATTTTCACGTTTGCATGAATAATTTGGTAGTCTTGAGAGATAGAATAATGATATATCCAGACAAAACAAAAGATTTCTTAGTTTTAAGTTTTTAAGTTTTAAATAAAAATATTTTAAAATATAAAAATATTTAAAAAAATATATATTTATACTTTTAAGTTTTAAATAAAAATATTCCAAAAAACATTAAAAATCCTTTAATAGCCAAATTTATTACATTTATTATCATGTTTATGTTGAACAAAATAGAGTACACAGATAACTAGGAGCGAATTAAACATAAAATTTAAAAGTAGTATTTCGTATGGCCGCTTTTTACTTATATGATTACTTGCAAATATCGAGACTTATTCTTAACCAGATCTTAAATGTATTACTGATCGACGTTTTCTCACACTTCTTCCAAGGCTACGAAAACTTGATCTTGTTTGTTATATCGCTTTTGTCAACTGGTTTAAACTGCATTATAAATGCTCATTTTCAATTGAGTTTATTTAAACTATATTTATAGCGATTGCACTGGCTAATTCAGCAGTTTGATCCTCAAATTACGGAAAGAAATAGTAGTTTGTGATGTTGTGATTTTAAGTCACCCGTCACAAAAGGCAAAAGCCCTCCGAGAGGATCGATGGGGTGCCGTGCTCGCTCGCGACCGCGAGGCGAGCTGCGCGCTTTTGATCAAATTTAGCGGTGAACGTTCTCTTTTGCGAGAAACCGCGTGTGTAAACATGCGAGTTTTTTTCTCTTCTTGGGTACTCCCGCGTCCCGATAGTTTGTGTGTCCGTCTCGCCGCGGGTGGCTTCCGACCAGCGGGAGCAGCGGAGAAAGGAAATCGGGACGAGGAGGCCTGGGTGGAGGAGCGGAGGAGCAGCCCGACAACGAAAAAGGCCCTTAGGTGATATCATGAAGTTCTGATGTTAAACATGACTCGCCAAGGTACTTCCAAACGTTTACATACCATGGGAAAATTCAAAAGGAATGAAAATGGGTGCCGCATGAGTTAACTGAGAGACAAATGGAAAATCGAAGAGCCACTTCCGAAATTTTGCTTTTGCGGCATGAAAAAGTTTCCTGCATTGAATTGTAACTGGCGATGAGAAGTGGATATATTTCGAGAATCCCAAACGCAAAAACTCGTGGCTTTCACCTGGCGAAGCATCAACATCGACGGCACGGCCAAATCGCTTCGGAAAGAAAACAATGCTCTGCGTTTGGTGGGACCAGAAAGGAATCATGTACTATGAGCTGCTGAAATCGGGCGAAATTGTCAATGGGCATCGCTACCGATAACAACTGATCAATTTGAACCATGCATTGCTCGAAAAACAGCCAGAATGGGACACGAGACACGAACGAGATGAACGTGATATTGCAGCACGACAACGCTCCGTGCCATCGCACTTCCATCGTTCAGGACACCATCAAAACACTGAAATGGGATCTGCTACCGCACCCGCCGTATTCGCCAGACCTGGCCCCTTCCGACTATCACTTGTTCCGGTCGATGGCGCATGGCTTGGCTGGGCAACACTTGGCCAATTTCGAAGAAGTGCAAAATTGGTTGGATGAATGGTTTCGGTCCAAAGACGCGTCCTTTTATCGTCGCGGTATTCATGTATTGCCAGAGAGATGGCAAAAATGTGTAGCTAGCGAGGGATGATATTTTGAATAAAACATGTTTTGTATTTCTCTTGAAATTTTCCATTTTTCATTGATCAAAAAAACCCGGAAACTTAGTTGCGCACCTAGTAAATGTAACAGACTTGACTATCGAAGAATTTTTAATATTTTTGAAATTTTTTCACTTAAAACTTAGAAGTAGATTATGAAACCTTTTTTGTCTCCGAATACATTTATTTTCTATTTGTCAAGATTGCCGAGTTATTTACGTAAATATAAAATATCCGAGGTACGTACTTTATTATGGCCAATACTGTCAATATATAATATTATATAATTATATAATATTACATAATATTGATTATATTAACAATTATATAATATTAGGAGTGTGATTTGGTTTTCAAAAACTGATTTACTTAAACAACATAATGAACGAAAACTTTGATCAAAATATTTTCTTTCGTTTTCTACATTTTTTTTTCATTTCTTTCTGGCAAGAAATGGAGTCTGCAACGATAAAAAGATTCTTCTTAGAGTTGATTCAATTTTCAACAAATTTTCGCATTTCTTCCAAGTTATGAAAGTGTGTATCCTCTAGAGCATGTTGCATCGATTGAAACAAATGATAATCGGATAGAGCAATGTCTGGAAAATACGCAAAGTGTGGTAAGACTTCCCATTCCAGCTCTAATAGTGTTTGCTTCACTGATAATGCAATATGAGGTGGAACATTGTCGTGAAGAGGGATCACTTTGCATTTATTCGCAATTGGTAATAGTTTTTAGTCCAATGATCTCTTTAATTTGTATAATTGTTATCGATAACGATCAGCGGTGACAGTTTCATTCGAATTTAACAGTTTATAGTACACAATACCTTTTTGATCCCAAATACATAGCAATATCTCTGAACTGTGAATATTGCGCCTTGAAGTGGATGTTGCTGGTTGGTCTGGATCAACCTATGATTTTTTCATTTGGAATTATCGAAATAGATCCATTTTTCATCTCCAGTAACAATTCGATATTCGATTAAACTCTTTATTTTTTGTCTGGTGATCAACAAAATGCAAATGTTCAACCTGTTCGCAATGACATTTTCCGGTAATTGATGTGGAACCTATTTTCTTTTTTTGTAAATATTTCCCATGTCATGTAAACGTTTAATAACTGTAGGATCAACATTTCATGCTATGACAAGTTCTGAAATGGATTGTGCTGGATTTTCGTCCAATAATGTTTGCAAATCTGCATTTTCAAGCTTTTTTGGTTGTCCCGAGCGATCTTTGTCGTTAACATTAAAATCACCACTTTTGAATCGGCTAAACCAATATTCACATGTCTTAATTAATGGAACAACAGCATCATAAGTTTCTATCAGAATTTTATGACTTTTAATTGCCCTGTTCTTCTGATTAAAAAACAAAAGCAACGTATGTCGATAATATTTTTTAGGAAGCTCCATTTTTAAGATAATATTTGTTCGGAAAGCGACCGAACATATAATAGCTCCGGAGAACTGGTTGGTGAATTTCGAATTGCAGAGCGATATCCACCTGCAACTATGTCGTTCGAGCAATTGAACGACCGACCAATCGTCCCGGCCGACGTCTGAGTTATGTCGTAAGGCTGGCCAGAACCTCGAAAGAATGCGCAAGTCCAAGCAACCTACGTTGCTTGGACTTGCGCATAAACTTGTTACATAATACAAGTATTATGTAACAGTGACATGGTCGAATGAGAAATTATAATGTTAATATAACGTAACTGTATTTAGTATCCACTGGACAACATAACCTGAGATAAGGTACTCGCGCAAGAAACGCGGGAAAACTATGCGGGAAGACAGCTGATCGGATAGCGTGGGTCCCTCCATGGACCCTGCGATGTGTTTTATTGCCGTCATTGGCATATACTTTCGTAGAGCTCCTACGTCATCTCACGCATGCGCTGTAACGTCACAATATATTGCATCTAGCAACTATGCGTGAGCACAAGATCAGAATACGAGATTCGAACTATTAGCCTCAACCCAGCAGGGTATATTGATGCCGCCTTCAACTCAGCAGAGTGTATAGAGCAGTGGTTCGAATCCGGAATGAGAGACACGACCGTTTTAAGAAGGCCTAGAAGCGCATCGGTAATCACTAGTGCGAACAGTTCGCACTACCAGGTATGTAAATATGAAACCGGAATTTTTGTACAGAAAATACACGTTTATTATATGAAAATGATAAAAAATATTTTATTCAAAGTATTGCCCATCGCTAGCTATACACTTTTCCCACCTGTCTGACAATTTGTGAATGTCACGCCAAAAAAACCGTTGTTCTTTTAAGGTAAACCAGTCATCGAGCCATTTTCGTATATTTTCGTAAGAAGTGAAGCGCTGCTCGGCAAGTGCGTGTCCCATCGATGCAAATAAGTAGTAATCGGACGGAGCCAAGTCTGGTGAGTAAGCCGCATGCGAAAGTATTTCCCAACTAAACGCCTCAATCGTTTCCTTCACCAGTTTTGCTGTGTGTGATGGTGCATTATCATGAAGCAAAATCACTTTGTATTGCCTTTTTTGATATTCTGGTCGTTTTTCACACAAAGCTTGATTCAAATCGATCATTTGTTGTCGGCAGCGTTCAGTATGAACAGTTTCGCCAGGTTTTAGCAGCTCATAATAGATCACACCCTTCTGATCCCACCACAAACACAGAGCATTATCTTCCGTCCATAACGATTTGGTCTTGCAGTCGATGTCGATGGTTCGCCTGGAGTTACCCGTGATCTTTTGCGCTTAAGATTCTCAAAATATATCCACTTTTCATCGCCAGTCACAATTCGATGGAGAAATGACTTTCTTTTGTACCTGACGAGCAGCATTTCGCAAGTGGTTTTTCGGTTTTCCTGCTGTCTTTCATTCAGTTCATGTGGAACCCATTTTCCCATCTTCTAGATCTTTCCCATGGTTTTCAAACGTATGGAGACAGCTTCTCGTGTCACATTTAATTAATCCGCGAGTTGTTGTGTTTGAGCGTGTCATCCTCATCCAACAATGCTTGCAATTCGCTGTCTTCAAACTTTTTCGGTGGTCTTCCACGTTCTTCGTTTCTCACGTCAAAATCGCCACGTTTGAATTTTTTAAACCACTCAAAGCACTGTGATTTACCAAAAGCATGCTCACCGTAAGCTTCGACAAGCATTCGATGCGATTCTGCAGCAGTTTTCTTCAAATGGTAACAGAAAATCAATGCTGTCCGCAAATCGTAGGTTCCAGGCACAAAA